AACAAACACACTTGGGTCTTTTTTTGATACCGTAAATGACCAGGGGTCTGATATGGAAAGGTTGTTCCTGGCTTCACAGCGTAAATATCACTATCAAACAGAAACCACTCGACCAAACATTTCACCTACCAAAACTGAAACACAAAGCTAAAAAACGGAAAATCWATATCGGACATTAATTAATATCGGCTCCGTTTTACATATGGGGCTGATACCGATTTCTAAAAGAAGACCAATATCGGCCGATACAGATGTCAATGCCGATATATTGTGCATCCCTACAAATTATGATTTATCTTTCAATTTGTAGAACTTTCTTATACATRGAACCAACAAACTTTTCACTTAAAATGTAAATAAACATGTTTAATTGACGGGGGAACTTCAATAAACCGGCCAGCCAATTTATCAGCGCCGATTTCCTTACTTTTGGGAGATTGGAGATCGGCCAATCCTTAGATAAGATCTGTGGAGAAGATTGGCTTTTCTGCCTCCACAAAGGTCTGRAAATCAGCCACTGTCCTTTTTTGCTCTGCTGTGAGCTCTAACTAAWGTCCAGTTAAAACASGTTTGTGTTGTTTCARTATTGTTTCAGTAAAATAACATTTGAACATTGAAGTTGTATTGTGACTTTGTAACGTCTGACCGTGTCAGCTATTTAAAAAATTGGTATTGGCCAAAATCGGAATCAGCAGGTCAGACTTGTAAAACATCAGATATTGGCAAGAAAACTGGAATCTGTGCAGCCCTGTCAGTTGTGTTACGGTGTTGGTTTGGAGTGTCGGGGCACTAGTTTGGATCAGGACAGGAAGATCCCAGATGTGAACTGAGGAGCTGGCAGTAGAGCTGCTGCTCTTCTGCCTCAGAAGGAGTCTGGTCTCCAACAGTTGCAGCCCACTGAGAGAGAAAGTGAGCAGCTGTGACGAGAAGTGATTTTTGTTTTGTTGTCGACGGTCCTCTAGATCCAGACTGCAGCTCTTCAGGACCAGTAAAAAAGGCTGGGGGGTCCGCGCTCTGCAGGACATCCCACAGGGGACCTTCGTGTGCGAGTGAGTTGAAGCTGAGGGGTTTGAGGGGTAACCTGTGAGACCCCGCAGYTCAGTAAGGTCCTCTGCTCTCCAACAGGTACGTGGGTGAGATCATCACGGAGGCCGAGGCCGAGGCGAGGCAGAACGATGCGTACCTGTTCAGCCTGGACGACAAGGTGAGGCTCAGCCGGACCTCGGGTTCCTTCCCTCTTATCTGCCGAGTTTCTCACCGTCCGTCCTTTCCCTTCAAGCCTGAAGACCTGTACTGCATCGACGCCCGCTTCTACGGAAACGTCAGCCGCTTCCTGAACCACATGTGCGAGCCGAACCTGTTTGCCTGTCGKGTCTTCACCACGCACCAGGACCTCCGCTTCCCGCACATCGCCTTCTTCGCCAGCGAGAACATCAAGGCCGGCGAAGAGCTCGGGTAAACCTGACACCTGATTAATTTACTCCCAACAAACAACTGCAAACACCTGCTCAGGTGTTCAGGCTGCTCTTATCACCCAGAAGGTCAGACTGTGCARCACTTGGGAGGTCTCTACAGGCCTCAGTTAGCAGGTTGAACCAGAGAATCCTCTAAAACACACGTTAAACTGAAGGCCCGCAGGCTAAACGTGGCCCGCGAGAGCTTCAAAGATGTATTCRTCTTTTAAAATCAGCTGCTTTGAAGCAGCATTGACCATAAACTACATCTCCCATAATGCATGTTGATTATTTTACCCAGGAAGTRACGGCATCCCACCACCAGGTGGAGCCATACAGGGTTCAATAAAACAGCAGCTGCTCCACARAACGGGTCAAAAAGAAGAGAATCAAAGTGCTGCAGGGTCCAGTCAGAGTCCAGAACCTGAACCTGATGGATCGGGACCGTTTTTCTTCCTCAGGTTCTGCATTTTGTTAGAAAATTTGTTGTTGTTCTTTTAAAGGAGACATGTCTGCAAAATCCACTTTTTTAGCTGTTAAACACACTTTGTTGTGAACTTGGAGTCTGTAGGAGGCAGAAAAGTTACATGTAGTCTCTCCTGTGTTGATATCTTTATATTCTGTTTGGTTAGATTTTTTAACACCCTCAGTTTTCTCTAGTATTGAAGAATAATGTCACGGTAGGTCATGGACTAATGTGGTTCTACAGGTTCTTCATCAGGCTCTGGTTCTGAGTCAGACTCTGGGTCCAACCTGTAGGCTGGATGAAGTCTTCTGTTGTTGACGTCTTTTAATTTATTTGTAAATAAGCTTCTGCGCCGCCGTATAATCATATCTCTGACATAAACTACAAACATGGCCGAAAGAGGTGGAGGGGGGCGGGGCTTAAAGAGCCTCATTTGCATTTTAATTAAATTAATTTTTTTTCATTTATTCATAAAACGAAACAATCTTTATACAGTAAAATGAAATAAAAACAGAAGCAGATAAAATATAAAAAAAATTATAAAATCAAATCAAGCCATGAATGAAAACTACGAAAAATTAAATTTAATCTGAGAATTCTGAGATTAAAGTCATAATTTTTTTTTCAGTGGTCCTAATCCCCTTTCATAGAAAAGGTTGCAGGGTGAAGAAACATTTGTATTTTATCTGCCCCCATTCAAAGAGACAGCCTCAAAATGAGTTGATCTGAGACATGCCTGAGGAAAAGGGGCGGGGCTTGTGATGTTACAGTCAGCATTGCAGTTCCACTTTATACAGACCCCAACTGAAGGGTTTAATGTGAAAAATAAGGATTTAAAACAGGAAATATAATATATATTTTTAAATAATTTCTCAGGTTTAACTACGGCGACCACTTCTGGGAAGTCAAAAGCAAGCAGTTCAGCTGTGAGTGCGGCTCCTCTAAGTGTAAGTACTCGTCTGTGGCCCTGGCGTCCCTGCAGGCCGACAGCACGCCGGAGGAGCAGCAACAGCCCAGCGCCCTGCCCGACACCAGCTCTTCAAACGGCCCGTCGTAAAAACAACAACAGCAAACCAGTCCCCCCAGAACCTTTTTTATCAGCGACACTCGTACTGTAACGCCCACCTCCCGCCCCGACCGAGGACCATTCAGCAGAACCTGTAAACTGTTTTTGACCCAGATGCACAATCAGAACCTGACAGAACTGCGTTATTCCACCGTCGGAACAAGAGGAAGAGGCTGCAGCACAGAGCACGGGGCTAGGAGCGCCCGTTTCATCCTCCACAAAAAACGACATGCGCTTGTAAGTTTGTCGTCTTTTTTCTGTTTTTTTCCCCCTTTGGAAGCTAATTAAAGAAGACGGAGCCGAGCTCAGCACACGGCCGAGTGTTCCGCACCACGAACCATTCCAGCAGACCGTTCGCAGTTTGTCGCAACGTTTTTTGTGACTTCTTGTCTTTTTCTCGTCGTGTCTCACGTTTGCCACCACAAATGAAACGAGTTTACAAATTAACGGAAACAAAAAGTGCATTTCTTTTTTTTTTTTTTACTGATTAGAAAGCTGGTCAGAAATGAAAAAAAGTTGGCGTACCTTTTTATGAAACTTGTCTGATATTTACAGAATCGATTCTGCAAATATAAAATGAGAAAAAAAAAGAAGAAAATGGTGCTGACAAAGGTTTTTGTTTTTGTTATCAAGTGAACATAGTTTGTAAAATAAGAGAATGTTTTTATGTTTTTTTATGTTTTAATTTTATCTCCCAGTTTTTCTAAATCATAGTTGGATTTTAATTTTCCTTCCTGGTTTTGCTGACAGAAGCCAAATCATCGTTTTAACTCGTGTTAGGAACACAGTGACTGTTGTGCAAAGTCTCGAAAGGTTAAAAAAAAAGAAAAAAGAAAAAAATGGGGGGGATAAAATTGCACTTCCATTAAGTTCTGTTACATATTTCTGGACTGTGAACCATCCATTAACTGGTTGTATCTTTTTCAATAAATTTAATATTATTGCATTTATTTACTTTAATTGTTGTTGTCTGAACACGTAAACATGTCGGGTGCTTTTTGTGTTTTTTCATTATTTAAAGGAGAGTTCAGTTTTTATGTGAGGTTTATATATAAACTGTTATTATCTTACCTGTTGTAGAAGCTCAGTGTGATTCAGTCGGGTCTTTACCAGAAACTGAAAAAAAAAAAGTTCAAAACTATTTGTCAGATTTTAGGTGTTATTTCACTTTGTTTTTTAGTTTCAAACTTCTGGTCCTGTTTGGTGTGGGGGYGGGGCCTGATATGACAAGGGGATGTGACATCATGACTGACAGCTCAACACAGACTGGAAAAATATTCCCAGCTGTTGCATTCAGGAGCCGTGGGAAATGAAAATGTATCTTAAAAAATTGTTGATATTCTAAATTTCTGTGATTGGTTTTGAAAAATAACTTTTGTTTGATAAAAGCTAAACTACATGAATGTATTGAAAATCACACGAGCATTAATTATCAATGAAGTTTTTAAGACTGTTCCAGTTCCCACAGTTCCTGAATGCAACAGCTGAGAAAATTTTTTCTTTTTTTTTTTCAGTTTGAAAATATGTATTTTTAACAAAAGTTTTGGCCTCTATTTAGCTCCATGCAGGTGAACAAAAACACCAGAATCCAGCATGTTGTTATTTATTAATCGTAAAACAAAATGTCAAAGCTGCAAATGAGATACTGGTTCTGGGCTCAGGAACAAAAACAGACCAAAGAAGAGAGATTTTCCCAGAATGCACTGCAGCAAACACCTAATCCCAGCTGTCAGTACGGTGGTGGAGGGTTGATGGTCTGGGCTCCTCTGTAGACCAACAGGTTCTAGAGTCAAATGTGAGACCAAACTGGGCCCAACAGAACCAATGATCCCCAACACAGCAACTGATGTTCAACARAACGGGTCAAAAAGAACAGAATCAGTGATCTGCTGGGGTCCAGTCAGAGTCCAGAATCCCTGTGGGGGGACGTCCAGAGCTGAGCAGAAACCAGTGATATGAAGCAACGATGGAAAGAAGAGTGGGCTAACATCCCTCCACAACCACCTGACAGTTCTTGCTGCTAAAGAAGATTCTACAAGCTACATGATCATCAGGTCATGAGCCCAGTTAGCAGGCTGCTAGCTAAAAGTAGCATAAAGTTAGCCAAAAACTAAAAGTAGCATAAAGTTAGCCAAAAACTAAAAGTAGCATAAAGTTAGCCAAAAACTAAAAGTAGCATAAAGTTAGCCAAAAACTAAAAGTAGCATAAAGTTAGCCAAAAACTAAAAGTAGCATAAAGTTAGTCAAAAGCTAGAAGTAGCAGAAAGCTAGCCCAAAACTTAAAAGTTGCTTAGAGCTATTCTAAAATTAGCATAAGGCTAGCCCGAAAACCAAAAGTAGCAAAAAGCTAAATTTAGCATCAGGCTAACCCAAAAACTGAAAAGTATTGTAAAGCTAGTCCAAAAGCTAAATGTAAATAAGTTAGCCCTAAGACTAAAATTAGCAAATGGTAGCTAAAAGTAAAATGGTAAATAACTAAAAGTAGCCTAAAGCTAACATAAAAACTAAAATTAGCTGACTGGTAGCTAAAAGTAACAAAAAGCCACACAGCGTTGTTTTTTATTTAATAACTCATAAATCTGTTTTAGTTCACTTGAAGTTAGATTTGAAGACTAGGTTTTTGTATTCATCACGTGAACTGATGTGTAAAACACTAGAACTGAAGAACAAATTTCATTTTCCCCAAAACCCAGTTTATGTAACTTTCAACCTCTTCAGCAGGAGGGAGCAGTGGGCATCTGCAGGCCTCTGTGGAGTTTATAATCTGAGCGATGATTGCGCCCTTCCTGATTACCAGCACTAACTGAATCAGAGGAGGTAGTGAGTCTGATAAGAAGCTTTTAAACTGGCGGGACAGGAAGCAGGCTTTCCGCATTCCAAAAACTCCACATTTGGATGACTTTTGGGGCCGAACGGTTCAGTCGACCCTSACAGGAGGAACCGTCTGGGGCCGAACGCTGGTTCAGCTGGAGAGCAGACATGAAGAGGATGGTCCCTCACTGCTCCAGGTGGGCCGAGAGACGATCCACCGTGGTTTATGGTAGGTTTAGAACATTCTTGGTTTGTTCAGGTCTTCCTGTGAGCTCGTGTCATGAGKTTTTTCTGTGTTAACAGCCAGCAGGGCAGTAAATTAAAGGTCACTGAGGTCAGGGGTGTCAATGTTTGWGATGTTTCACCTTTAATATGAATAACTTGTTGAGCCAAATTCTAGAAATGAGGAAGGGTTTTCAATAACACAACCCCTAATGACTTTACYGTCCTAAATATTGGTTTAAAATAAAGGTTTATAGTAGCCAATACTAATTTTGAGAAATAATTCTTACGTGTTTTCTGTATAAGTAGTCAGAAACTGGTGCATAAAATGTCTAATAAGTAGATAAAAGCTTTAATATTAGCCTTTTCTTATTGACAGCAGGACTGACAGACAACAGAGCAGATTTGTTTTGGTGCGCATGCGCATTGAACTGAGCGCGATCATCGTCGCTTTGTCGGTTAGCTTAAGCAATGCTAATGCTAAAGTGAACACAAACGGAAAACATTGTGTGTTTCAGCTAAGTAATTTTAATTTAATTTACACTAAAACGCTTATAGAAAATAATTCTTAAAAATACTTTAGTTTTATTGAATATATTTTAATTTTTAAACAAAAATGTATTTTGAGTCGACGCCACCACAAGGGGCGCTGTAGCCCAGCGCTACGGTTAAATTATTTTTCCGGTTTAGCTTTTTCAGCTAATTGAGAGTTTTCAACTTGATGTTTTCACGTAAACATTTATTTTTACTCCCAAATGCTTTACTATCATCATATATTTCGCCCTCCAGCGGTCCGCGCAGCCACTTTCGGCTCCTGGAGGATGCTGACCCAGGGGGCGGAGTACGAGGACGCCTGGGCCCCGTCACCTGACAGAAAGCGCGGCCTTTCAAAACCGCTGGATGAAGAGAACCCGGACCCAGCGGAAGGTGGCCCCGATGAGCCGCATGAGCCATGTTGGAGAGCTGACCACGGAGTCCCGGAGCAGAAATACGACACCGTTTTACAGCTGGATGGAGTTAGCAGAGCGGCTGCGAGGGACGGTGTCCGCCGGGTGGTCTGGAAGCACGACACACTGAACGGATCCCCGCTGGTCAGGTCTGACAGGCTCCTAAAAACACGACATCTTAGAAAATGTAAAGGCTCATCTGGGATATATACTTAGGAAAGATAACACAGRTGAAAGGGAACAACATGCAGACCAACAGATAAGTTTTAATAACATAATTTGTACCATAACTGACTGAACCCGGTCACAAAATCACATATATTTTTAAAAAGAATAATGATGTTTACATCATTTTTATTCCAAATATAATTTCGAGGGAACTTAAATATTTACAAACGTATTTTCTAATACTAAACATTACACATTTAGCAGCTGATTTGCTGTTTAAAAACATTATGTTGTTGTTGCAGTACTTCTTTCTCACCACCAGGTGTCTCTGTGCCACCTGGAGAGTTTGTCACAATTTTATTTTATTTTATTTTTTTTACCTGAAAATAACTTGAAATAAATGTGTTATATATGAAAGCTGGTGCAAAACATGAAAACAAAATGTTAATGTACGTATTTGTAGCTTTGACCAAACACAATTTAGTAATTCTGAATATTAACAAAGAGTTAGAAAACATGATGTGGACATTGAATCATTTCAAGTTGCAGTCACTAACCATCCTTTGTATACCACATTAATGTGGACCAAACTGGGTCCAAYAGAACCATGATTCCAAACAGAACAGAACAAGGAGTCACCAGAGGGGGCTAGAAATCCCTCCACAACAATTCAGATCTAATTAAACCTAATTAAAAATGGATGCCAGAGCTAATTGAGCTTAGCCTGTGCGCAGCTATAACTCAGCCACTTTGACAGCTAAATTTGAGCTGAGAGTCATCCCCAACACGCAGCCTGAGCGCCAGCATCTTGTCTCATTTCATCAGAGCGCGCGTCTGTTTAACAGGGAACCATCTGATGCGATTATCTGAATATGGAGCTAATTTCCAGCCCCTCATTAAGGCGGTAATCAGACTAACTGAGAGGGAGAGGCTGATGTTTGGACCCGGCTGCTGGTTCTGAACCGGTGCGCGCGCCTGTGCGCTCCGGGCAGCGATAGGCTCCCTGTGGTCACATGCGGCTCTTTCCTTGTTCCTCACGGGAGTCGCTTCACGTTCAGGCAGCAGCAGCAGCAGCAGCAGCCGCCTGTCCGTGCAGGGAGCGGTGTCAGACCGGAACCACAGGACCTCACCTCCTCCGGCTGGATCTTCTCCTGTCGCCTTCAGCTGGACCGGCTCAGCTGCTGGGTTCGGACGCGATGCGGTCCTGGTTCGGCGGTTTCATTGGATGGTGGATGCAACAGCGTGTTGAATGAAGTGTTTATTGGAAACTTTGGTGTTTTTGTTTTGTTATTTTTTATTTTGGGGTTTCACTGAGGACGGATACATGGAAGCGGCTCCAGAGCGAGGCCGCCTTCGTTTCTTTCCCGCTCCTGTCTCCAGTTTGACGCCAGGCAGGCACTGGTTTGCATGAAAACGCGCCGGTGGTGATGCGTCTCCCTTCCACTGACACCAGTTCGGATTTTTGGATCTGTGCGTTTCCAGAATGGCCCGCTTCGCTGACGATCTCCCCACCCGCTATGGAGGAAGCGCAGGCGGCGGAGGGCGAGGAGGAGGACCGGGCGCTCCGGGGAGGGGGCCCGCCCGGGGCGCGCAGAGGATGTACAAACAGTCGATGGCCCAGAGAGCCCGAACCATGGCCATATACAACCCGAACCCCGTCAAGCAGAACTGCTTCACGGTCAACCGCTCCCTCTTCATCTTCCGAGAGGACAACCTGATCAGGAAGTACGCCAAGCGGATCACAGAGTGGCCATATCCTCCAGCTGCTGCTCTGACAGCTGATCGATCACAACAAATCAGAGTGAAATGTTTCTGATTTCTCTGACCTGAGTTTGGAGCTGAAGGAACAGGTGGAGCCTCCAGTGGCGGACTTAGAGGGGGGGTTCCCACTGGAGGGCAGAACTGGTTTTAGCTGGAAAAGTTTCTTTATTCACTTAATTTGGTTATAAACACCTAACTGAGTCAGAAACTGAGGTTTAAAGGCTCTTAACTTGTTTTTCATTAAAACTTTGCATCGACACAAAGTAATTGAATAAATCCCTAAGCAATAATAAATATGTCCTGATGCATCTCAATAATAAATATGATTATTTACAAAGGAAAAGTAGCCATAATATACAAACTATAAAATTACAAAACCATAAATAAAAAGGTTAGCTGACGGTTAAAAAAAAGTAGCAAAACAGTGGATAAAAACAAAGCCATAGCTCAAACACTAAAATGAGCATGTAGCTTAAAATAGAAAAATAGTAGATTAAGCTAAAAGTAACAAAACATTAGCTCAAAATTAAAATAAATAAATGGTAGCTAAAAGAGTAAACTAAAAGTAGCAAAAAGCTAGCTCAAAGAATACAATTAATAGATGATAGATAAAAGTAGAGTAGTAAAAGTAGCAAAAAGTTAGCTCAAAAGCTAAAATTAATAGAGGGTAGCTAAAAGTAGCAAAAAAAGTAGTTTAAGCTAAAAGCAGAAAAAGCTAGCTCAAATTAATAGGTGGTAGCTAAAAGTTAGCTCAAAAGCTAAAATTAATAGAGGGTAGCTAAAAGTAGCAAAAAAGTAGATTAAGCTAAAAGTAGTAAAACACTAGCTCAAAAACTAAAATAAGTAGATGGTAGCTAAAAGTAGATTAAGCTAAAAGTAGCAAAGATCTAGCTAAAAAATAAAATAAATAGATGTTAGCTAAAAGAGTAAACTAAAAGTAGCAAAAAGCTAGCTCGAATAAAATTAATAGATGGTAGATAAAAGTAGAGTAGTAAAAGTAGCGAAAAGTTAGCTCAAAAGCTAAAATTAATAGAGGGTAGCTAAAAGTAGCAAAAAAGTAGATTAAGCTAAAAGTAGCAAAACGTTAGCTCAAAAAATTAAATTAATAAATTGTAGATAAAAGTAGAGTAAACTAAAAGCAGAAAAGTTAGCTCAAAAATTAAAATTAATAGAGGGTAGCTAAAAGTTAGCTCAAAAGCTAAAATTAGCAGCTGTAATTAAAAGTAGCAAAAAGCTAGCTCAAAGAATAAAATTAATAGAGGGTAGCTAAAAGTAGCAAAAAAGTAGTTTAAGCTAAAAGTAGCAAAAAGCTAGCTCAAAAATTAATAGATGGTAGCTAAAGTTAGCTCAAAAGCTAAAATTAGCAGCTGTAACTAAAAGTAGCAAAAATCTGGCCCCAAAACTAAAATTAGCAGACTAGCAGCTGAAAGTATAAGAAGGTTAGCTACCATCTTTTAATTTTAGTTTTTGGGCTAGCATTTTGCTACTTTTAGCTTAAAGGATAAGAAGACCAAACAGAGCCAATAATCTGATCAGATTAAAACAACTGATTCTTAAACATTCAAAGAGATCTAAAATGTTTCTTTGGGTAAAAGTTTTGTAAATAATGTGAAATATTTAGAAACATAAACGTCGTACAAGCTGAACATCATAGCTCTCATCTCCTGAATGAGCTAAAGTAGTTAAATTACACAAAAAAAAGAGTTGAAAACTATAAAAAGGCTGAGTCAGCAACAAACTGGATCATAAAATCACCCAGCGGTGCACCTGCTGCTTCTTATCTCTGCTGAACACGACACAAATGTTTTGTTGGTCCAGTAGAGACTTCATAAAAAGCTCATTGTGTTGCTTCTGCTCTGTGATTGGCTGATGGGCTTCTTTTGTCAGAACGTCACCTGTCAGCAGCCGGGCTCATTGATTCTGCAGGTAYGATTGAGACTGACTGGGTTTCCTGCTTTATGTGAAAATTATTAAGAAAAACAAACAAACCGATGTGTTTTTTTTTTTACAGTCCAGCTTGAGGTTTTTGAGTCAGGAGCTCTCTCCATGGTGCTGAAAGCTCCCACGCTCACCAGTCATGCAGCGCTGYAAAAAATGCTTCAGGCTTTTGGAGACTTGGCTAAAAAGAGGGGGAAAAGGATCAAACCACACAGAATTAAAAACAAAACAAAAATAAACAGATGACAGTGGCAGCATTTAATACTCATAAAATTATTGCCCGTTTGACAGTTTGTTAGCAAAATGTTTCATTGTAATCGATCTAATTCAAGATGGCCGCCACAGCCTTTAAAACAGCTGATTTACATTTCTTCAAATAATACTATTTAACAGTTTAAGATGATTAAATGAATTTGATAAACTTATTTCCTCTGTTTTACGCGGATTAATAAATGTTCAGCATCCATTCAGATAAAAGCAGATTTTTCTTTAGTGTGGAAACAAGCCAGTTCTCTGGAAAATAACTAATTTCTTTAAAYCCGTAAGCAGAATTCTCCACATTTTCTTGAGAAAATGACTGCAGATTTCATGGCTAATTAAATCCCTTTTCACAGTGAAGTGGTTAAAGATGGGAAGTCAGACAAACACGAGCTGACAGCTCTGCTCTGTGGGCGACAGTGAGGACATTATCTGTCATTTAAAAAACAAAAAGTGGTTTGAAATGAGCTGAACTGAACTGGACTGGACTTCTTATTAAAATAATCATGATATTAACTAGAAGAAACCCCACTGAACCGAAGCTAGCTAAACATTAGCTAAAAGTATTAAAATGCTAGCTAAAAGTAGCAGAAAGCTAAAGGTTTAAAGTTGCAAAATGCAAATTTAAAACCAAAATACAAGCTAAAATATCAGAAGAGTAGCCAACAGTAGCAACGCATGAGCTAAAACTWACAAGGCTCTAACTAAAAGCTACACATAGAAAAGTGCTAGTTAAAAGAGGAAAGTTGTAAAAAGGTAGAAGCTAAAAGTATCAGAAAGTTAAAGACATACAATTTCAAAATGCTAATTAAAAGTGTCAAATACTAGCAAAAAATATTATAAGGCTAGCAAAAGGTTAGCCAAAACTAACAAAATGTTATTTTAAAGCTAACAGTAGCAACACATGAGCTAAAAATAACAAAATGCTAACTAAAATGTACAAATAGAAATAGCTACGTGGTTAAAAGATAAGTTGTTTAAAAACTAGTTTAAAGCTGGAAGTGTCAAAACACTAGCTAAAAGGAACTAAATGCTACCTAAAAGCTAACTGTAATAAAACTAATTAAAAGCTAAAAGAAAGAGAACATTAGCTTAAAGTATCAAAGCTTCATCTAGAACAGAGGTGCCCAAAGTGGGGCCCGCGGCCCGCCAAGCCTTTTGATTTGGCCCACCAGCAGTTGTCCTGGCTAATAGTTTGTAACCTCCTGTCTTATGTAGAAACACTATATTTCCACTTAATCTTTTCAACCATTGGTCCAACTGTATAAAATATAACGCAGTAGTTTTAACTCATGGTACTAAGATTCAACATAAAATAGAAGTAACTGCAATAGATATTAAGATTAGATTTAAGCACACATCTAGATTTGCACACTTTGTGAGACCAAAAATGCTCAAATTTTAATTTATGAAAAGTTCCATGAGCCTTTAATGCCCGAGCATACGTYAGATTTTCTCCACATCCATGGGCTGAAAAAACAACAACTAAAAAATAAAACAAAAAAATGTGGGCCATCACACTGGCCGCTATTTTTTTGTTTTATGATTAAGCRCTAGCTTAATCATAAAAAATAAATCAACTTTACTTAAGAAGTATTTGCATTTCATGTATTATATGCATTTGGCCCGCATCCTTCAGATCGATTTTAATTTTGGCCTCTCAGGGAAGATGTTTGGGCCCCCCTGATCTAGAAGCTAAAAATGTTTGCTAAAAATATCACAAGCAATTAAAAGCAGCTAAATGCTAGCTGAAACTAATAAATTGTTACAAAACTAAAAGTCCTAGCGCCTGTTTCCAGAATGAGCTGAACGTTTTGTCACACAAATGGCTAAAATAGCACCAAGTATACCGAAGCAGCACAAAGGAAAATGAATCTAAAATTAGCATCCAAGCTTTTAGCTTTCCAGCACTTCCAAGTGTTGCCTGCAGTAAATGTACCTTGTTTGATTTCCCCAAATGGGTGAAACACCAKCTGCATGTCTGAATGTTTTTACTGCGTGTGAAATTGAAATGAAGTTGTCCTTAACCCTCACACTCCCTTTGAGTACATGATCCTGGCAACCATTATCGCCAACTGCATCGTCCTGGCCCTGGAGCAGCATCTACCAGCGAGTGACAAGACACCCATGTCTGAACGCCTGGTGAGTCTAATTCAACGTGCAYGCTTCGCTGCCTCTCCTGCTTTTATAAAACTCTTGCAGCTTCGGGGTGTTTGTAACACCCTTTGGTGCTACGCTTTACAATCAAACAGCAACAGCTCTGTGTGTTAAAAAAGTCCAGTTTGACTTGTTTCCACGTCGGGGCGTTTGAATCCTGAACGGGTAGACAAAAGGGCTGCGGAGAGGCCATGGTTCTGTTGATGAGGAAGTGATTAGTGTGGTTTCACAAAGGGGCAAAACAAACCCTCTCTGCCTCCTCCACCTTCAGCATGTGATACGACAAGATGGCTTTTAATTAGAGCTCGGCATCAGCTATTAAATGAGAAGCTCTGTCAGCAGAGCGGGAGGCGTGCTGTTAGTGGAGCTGCTGGGAAAAAAACTGGGCTTCAGAGTCACTGAGTTCTTCAAAGACGTATTTATTGTTTTATTGCACAGCTAGGGATGCTACAACATCTAATTCCAACCCAGCCATCCATTATCTGCCACTTACTCTGGAGTTGGGTCAGAACTGAAGCTGGTTTTAGAAACCCGCTGAAGCTGAGGTCAGAGCTTCTCTGTTGGGGGGCTGCATGTAATGGGGGCTGGGGTTAATGTCTGTCAGGTTGTAATAAGCTGTAGAGGGGGAGTGAGGTTATGGTGGGTGTAGTGCCACACTGATCCAGATGTTTGAGATATTGGCTGTGTCCAAAACGGCAGGTCGGGTCCTCCGAAGGTCGAATTCGTCGGCCGCATACGTCACAGCGCCGCGACGAAGGACGTCCAAAACCGAAGACTCCTCCGATGCGGCCGACAAATACGTCCTTCCTTTGACCCGAATCGAAGGACTGGTCTGATGGATCCTTCCCGGCCCAGCATATCCCATAATGCATTGCAGCCCGACCGAAGATTTTTTTATGCTAGTAATGGTGGACGAAGCGAGAGAAAAGAATACATTTTAAATAAAAATATGGCGATATAAAAATTAAAATAATTTAGCGGTTGTAATTCTAATACTTTTATCATTTGTATGGACATGTTTTTAAATATTATTTTTTCGTCATAAAAAACGCGAAATAAACATGAACCTACAGCAGGTCAATTAGTTCTTCAAATGATACCTTTAAGTTAATTTTAATAGTTTTGTGAAATTAATAATACTAATGTATTGATATTTTTCTAATTTTGATTTAAGTTTGCTTGTTTAGCGTCGTCACAGTTGCTAGGTGACATGACGTACGCCGGGGTAAGGAGGGGAGGCTAGACCGTCCAAATTCACAGACTCTTTTTTTTCCGGTCTTCCCGGTCTACCAAGGACCCGGCCCGCCTCGACCGGGGAGTCTGGGTCCTCCGGAGGACCCGGTCTGTCGTTTTGGACACAGCCAATACCTCACTGAGTCAGGATGAGTTTTCTCTTGAGAAATGATGTATTTAATATGAGGGATACAAATACGTATCTATCTCTATCTGTCCGTCTGTCTGTCCGTTCGTCCGTCCAGTCTTTTATATATCAAAACAATCCAGGCTTGAGCGCATCGGTGCGCTCCCGTTAAGCACTGTCGAGGAGAGGAGTTTGGTCACGTGAGCAAAGTTGGCGATATCTGTTAGATAACGAAGCTCTGAACACATAAACTTATAGTGGGTTAGATTTTAGATACCAACGTCTCKGGTAGCTCGGGAGCCAAGTGTGGAGGACGAGGTTTGCTCACTCAGGACAGGAGCTGCAGGTTGATTGGTGTTTATCAGGCAGACAGCTGCACCGACATCAGAAAGACCCGCCCTGCTCTGCTCTGATTGGACAAAGCTGTGGGGTTCGTTTGATTTGTTAAAAGCAGCGTCTGTTTAAACCTGTGCGCATGCGGGGTGTAGAGTGTGTGTTCATACTGCTAGATAGCTTTATTACGAGACATGGAGACATTTTGTTTCAGCGAGCAACCTCATCCCCCACCTTCTCCTCGAATGACGGGGCACACCAGTGCGACCGGAAATATTTTAAAGGCGCACTATTAAAAAATAAGKTCGCATTTGCAACCAAATTAGTCRCACTCTAGTGGCCTGCGTGGTTCATTCCTGATTTCTGCTTATACAGTATGTTCCCAGCTTTATGTTGAACTTAAGTAGTTTTTTAAAATGATTAATTTAATTAACATTAAATGTGCTTTTTTTGTCTTTGGATAGCTTTTGTATCGGCTGAAAGAAGCCACATTCATTGTTTTACTTCCCTTCCCCCACTCATCTCTTTTTCTTAATGCTTCATTAAATTTTCTCTTACTTCTTACAAAAACATCTTCTTCCGTCAATCTCATCCTTTCTCCAATTCTCTGTGTGTTTTTGTAGGACGACACAGAGCCCTACTTTATTGGAATATTCTGTTTCGAGGCGGCCATTAAGATCATCGCCCTGGGCTTTGCATTTCACAAAGGCTCCTACCTCCGCAACGGCTGGAATGTAATGGACTTCGTGGTCGTCCTCACAGGGTGAGTCCCACTCCCGCCGGTTGTGCGCTCCAGACGGGTGACATAATAGAGTGGTTTGTTTTCCTTCTATGATTGGTCTGGGGACCAGGGCAGGGTGGAATCACCTTCTTGCTTTTACAGTGTTTGCTTTCAAGAATGTATATTGTTCAACAAGAAGCACACGTCTTTACAAAATCTAAAGATTATGTTGCACACACATTCATTTGATTCAACAAGTTTTTTTTACAGTTTATCAAAGAAGTTTCCTGACTAGTTCTTAATTGGCTTTATTTTCTGTCTTTTGGTAGAACATTTTCAGTTCCTGTTGACAGTTTTGAATTTGGTAAAGTCTACATTACTTGTGGAGTTCCACAAGGACCAAATATCGGTCCTCTACTGTTGTTAGCATTGGTAGACACAGCTAACCAAAAGGTTATCTTGGCTAACTCATAATCCACCAATTAAAAATATAGCACTAAAATGGACTAACGCTAAACAGCTAATCAAATAAAAATTAGCAGAAGTTAACACTAACAGCTACCAGTAATCACTAAAGGCTGAGATGACTGTCACTCAGTCTGTGTCAAATGTCTTTGTTTCCTTCGAGCTGACGACTGATGGGACTGACAAACCTGTTGTTAGCTTTATTAGTGCACTTAAAGTTAGCAATTTAGCAGAAGCTAAGTGGTCTGCTTACGGTTTTCAACGTTTGTGAAAAGGCTTAGCTAAATCAAAGTCAGCTAATTAAAAATATAGCTTCACTTAAGCCAAATCACTAATCGTGAAAAATTAGCTGAACTTAATGCTAAACATAATATTCAGTGTATAATAGGCATTTGTTTAGCTTGCATTTGTTTTTTAATAACAATTTTATTGTTATGTCATTGTGATGTTATTGTTAATATGTTTTTGAATAGTTATTGCTGAGGTAGTTATTAATGGGGATCCTTAATAAATTAATAAACAGCTAAACAAGTAAAAATTAATGAAAGCAAACAATAACAGCTTAGAGGACTGTCCCTCAGTCTGCATCACATCTTCATCTCCTTCAAGCTGAAAACTGGTGGGACTGACAAACCTGTTGATGTTAGTTAGCTGTTAACACCTAAAGTTGCCAAAACCTCATGTAGTGGAAGCTGATTGGGCTGCTGACGGTTTTCAACGTTAGTGAAAAAGCTAATCTGCTAAACAAAACAGTTTATTCTGTTATTAGCTGTTAGCTGGTTAGTGAAAAGTATTTATTGTCAATCAGTTGCTCTGTTATTACCCATTTTAAACTTTAAAATAACATTTCTGCTGTAATTGTACATCTGTGTTTCTTGTCTGCACTGTCATATTTTAGGTCGTATTCAGACCTGATAGTTTGCTCTGCTTTAAACAAACCAGAGTTAGTTTCCGGTATTGGTCCGGACCTTTTGTGCATGTGTGAATACACTCATGCGAACTCTGGTGCGGATCAAACAACCGGACCGAGACCTGCTTTTTGAGGTGGTCTCGGTCCGCTTCCAAACGAACTCTGGTGCGGTTCGCTTCAGTTTGCTTCTGGTGTGAATACAGACCGGACTCTAACCGAACCAACTGCATTAAACATGCACCTTTTTGGACTTCACAGGCCCCCGTTGCTGAGCTAAATAACCTGTAMTCATACCCGAGTCGTCTCCTGTTAGGAGCTCTACTGCTGGCATGTTGTGGGTCAGAACACGCAGAGCACCTCGTCTCCTTTGGGTTGSGGGACACATTTACTGAYGCCGCTCCAMAATTAGAATATCATCACAGAACCACCATTAAATTAGCTGCTTCTGACATTTTAAATGCTGTTGCAGTTGTACTATCAGTAAAAATGTGCGCATCAGAACTGCAGCACGCAGGACTTCCTTGTTTTCTTCTGGGTCTGTGGCTCAGTCCCGCCCCCGTCCTTTTTTTGTCCAATTGTAGCAATGATCGTCAGCCTCGTGGCTTTGTTTACAAGTTATAGTTCGTTTGCAAAAAAGCACAATGTGAATGCAAACCGCACCAAAAAAGTCCATTTTTGGTCCGGACCAAACAATTGGACCAAAGGACTTTCCTGGTCTGAATACACCCTTAAGGGCTCGACACACGGGAGGCGACGTCGCTCGCTCTCCATTCATTTCCTATGGAGCCTGTGCGGTGAGGCGACAATCTCTTGCCCTCCTCCAGCTAAGCGACCGACGAAAAYAGTGCAGGTGAAATTTCGCGCTCGTACACGTAGACGTGCACACGCGAGCTTGCGACGCGACATATGAAAGTTGAAAAATGTTCAACTTTTGTCGCTGTCGCTTAGCGTACAACCAATCAGCGAGGGTTTCATTGACTGACCAATGAGAGGAGAGTATGCTACACACTGCCGTTAGCTAACACTTTCACCAAGGTTTGTTTAGTTTACACGTCCGTAATGCACACCCGCCTTCAGAGTCAAGAACCAATCAAATTTCGTGAAGACAAGCGATCTGAGAGYGCGATTCGCAACGCTGCGATCGCTATCGCGTCCCGTGTGTCGGGTTTTCACCCTGGCTGCGATGACAGCCGCTAATCGCTGTAGTTTGACGCTGCCCGTGTGTCGAGCCCTTTACAGTTAATAGTCTGCTGCGATTGTTTTGCACTGTAAATGGGTAAATTCTAATTTCTAATGTCAAATTYTGATAGGTAACTACAGTCTCTAAAACAAAACATATTTTAATTCTTGCACAATGTTTTAAATTATATTTTTACTGTTAGTAGTCGTATCATTACTAGTTAGTGGTAATTTCATTTTTTGTGCATTGTCTATAGTTTGTAAACTAGTGTGTGAACCTCTGTACTGATGCTGCTGTCAGACCTGAATATCCCCTCGGYRGGACAATAAAGGCTATTTCTGTTCTATTCTTTTCTAAACCATGCCCACCACTGGTTGTAAGTAAGCTTTTATTTGAGGCTGTTATAAAATAATGACATCATATCACTCTATGCTGATGACACACAGAGTTACCTTTAAACCATAACGTGAACGAGCACGCGAAAAAAACTGAGCTAAGCTTTAATGCATTTATTGTTAACGTATTATTTCTTTTAAGCAGCTCACAAGCAGAGAAATTGCATCCGGATCTAAAAGAAAGCCCGTTAAATACTTTAAATACGCACCGACACTTTGAAACGGATAATATTCAAATTGTTCAGAGTGTTCCAAGCATSAGAAAACAGCTTTCTACTTCAGATTTTGTTTTGTCTCCTGTTCCTCCAGGAAGTAAAAACTGTAGAAACGGCTCTTTGGTTTTGACCACCCGTTGCTGACACAGCTGGAGACAAATTATCCATTATGCTGTGGATGTGAACATATCTCCCTCTGGTTACCAGGCAACCGCAGTAGATAATGTGCCTTGATGTAAAAAAAAAAGTGGTTTCTGTTTGTGTGTTTGTGGATGTTTGACACACGATTTGCCTTTTGTTGTTGCTGTTGTTTCTTTCCATGTGTTTGTCGTGAGAAGAGGTTTGATCTGAAACTCTGGGCTCCACTAGAGACTAGAAGTAACAACCAATTAATGCTTTTATTTATTTACATGTAATATGTTTCTGAGCTGGTTTTCTGTCTGAGCGTTGGGGTGTTTAGTCGTATTTTTAATTTAACGTCTTGCTTAGAATCATTTTTCAGTCAAACCAAAACACAAGTTTCTAATATTATTCTTTGTAGCTCTGAACAATCCATTTTATGTTTTTTTGTGCAAAAGTTGGCTTTAAATGGTTAATTAGTTGACCTCTAGTTGCTAAATATTATATTAAACCTGCTGGAAGGGGCTCTCATAAATTACCAAGTGCTTTTATGTAAAAACGTTGCACGAAATTGATGAAAACATACATTTAACTTTAATTTAGCGACCCTACATAAAGCTACCTTTTAAGTCATCGAGACTTCAAAAGAGAAAACGTTTTGCTGGGTTGGTCCAAAAAATAATAATTAATTGCCTGATTTGCAGCACAGCAGAAATAAATCATCCATTTCCAGTGAGACGTTGAGCAATGGGTACATTGTGATTATTGTCAAAACAAGCAGAACATAGATTTGTTTTTTTAGGTACAGATAATTAAATCAATAATTGAGAAATTCACAAACAGCGCTACTTTGGATCGTCAATCATAGCATCGATTATTGGGGTAAAAATGCTCGGTAATCAGTCWAAAGTAAGCAGTCAGAGTTTTATTGATCTAATGTAACACGTAGCAGGAGATGATGTAATTCTAGCTTTGCTACAAAAAAAACAAAAACAGAGGAATGACTGAAATATTTATCAATTAAAGCAGAAATCTATCGTGTTTCTTTCAGCTTTAAATCAGCTGCACAAAACCACGGCTCCATCCTTGGGTTAATTGTGTTTGTACAGCCGTCTGGTCCTAATGAAAGGGTTGAAATGATAGTGTAGCTGCAGGCAGCAGGAGACCTTTAATCTGTCCTGATCAGGCATTAGGAGTCCCTAATAAGAGAATAAGTCTTCCCGGGTCGCCAAAGGCTCGATCAATGGAGCAACGAACCGGCTGCCTCAGAAACGCCCAACCAGGACGAGGACACGGTCTTTTATAATGACAGGCTTCGAATTCTGTCAAAATGTTCGCTAATGTTCATCACTTATAAACTCAGGAAAAGCACACATTAAATAACCTGCAGTTTTCCCCACTTTAGAGAGAATTAAATGTAGGGAACGTTGTTTTTACAGAAGCACAAAGAAAGAAAAAAGACATTTTGACATTTTCAAACGTAGCCAGTATTCTGAAAGAGTCGACTTTAGAGTGCTCAGTCCTGCAGGTTTCTGCAGAGGAGATGCAATCTTTTTCACATGAACTCCACTTGATCCACCTGAGTTACCGTCACTCACTGCCTCACGTTGAACCGGTTAAAACATTAAAAACAGTAAACGAGTGACTAAATAAACTAATCAAAGTACTTTATTTTGAAAATGTTCAGTAAAATCTGTGTATGCTTCGTTCTTTTGTATTTTTTTTAGTGAGAAAAAAAATCTTTATTTATTTTGCTA